CTTTTCCTCTGTAGGCCTGCTGCAAAGGGCTGCCATAGCAGGAGGAATGTATTGACCTCATGTTCTATTTCTGGGCTTTTTATTGGCAACAGTGGAAATAGGATGCTGGACTGGTCTATGCCTTTGGTCTGATCCAGCGAAACTTCCTCCCAGCATGACACAGTGATATGTCTCTGGTGACCCAGAAGTGACTGAATGTTACTTCCAGTTTTGATTTCAGAAAACAGAAATGGGGGGGGGGGGGACAGGAGTTGTGAGGGAAAATTATTTTACTTCTTAGATTTTAGGGGTAGTTTGGAAGAGCTTGGAGTGATTTTTCATCTCCTCCTCCTCCTCCTTAATTTGAAAGGTCTTTTAAATTTCCAAGGTCTTTGGAATCCACTAAAACAGTTTGGAGTTGCATCTATTGACCAAGGTACAATTTGTCCACCTGGTGTGAAAATGACAAGCTTCTGCCAGGAAGAAGCAGGAAGGACCACAGAAGGAAATAGGATGTTTCATGTAATGAAACCAAGAGTAATGTACAGAAGTGAAGGATCACAAGTGCTGGAAAAACTCCTCACCCCTTAACAATGTTATTAGAGGTTTACATGCCACAGTTAAGGGAGCTTTTCCAAACAAATATCATGAGATTGGAGGGTTGACCATGCTTTGTGTTCCCACTATAGAAGGTTACTCTGGTAGCCTTTCCTATCGTAAAAAACACATTTTTATGCATTCTTTTCTCCACAAAATGTTGATTGTCAAAGCTATAGTGGAAACTGGAATCAGGAAGTTCAGCTATTATTATTAGTGTCCTTGAGGGATCAAACTGTAGTAGAATGAGAGAAGGTGCTAGAAGATGAGAAAAACCATAAGAAGCAGTAATTTAATTGTATAGATGGTATAGGGATAGTAAAACTGGCTAGCTCGTGGACAGTGGGCCAGGAGAGATAGGTGTGCAGGTATCTATGCCATTGTATTTAGTATTTAGGACAGGGCTGGGGAAAGTCCAGCTGATGTGGTCTCCATCACATGTGGTCTCCAGCTCCTTTTCTGTGTCATCTGAAGGCCCCTTCCATTATAGAATCAGAGAATAATAGAATTGGAAGGGACCACATGGATCATCTAGTCCAGTGGTTCCCAACTTTTTTTTGAACAGGGACCACTTTCACCAGGGACAACTCTCCAACATTAGTACCAAAAGGGTTACAAATCAGTTTTTGGTCAACTTTAGATTCAGTGTGGTTATTTGGGGTACTGATTAAAAAAATTGTATTGGATAGACCACATCAGCTGTAGTTTCAAAACATATGCCATCCAGTGGTCACCATCCGCTCGCCCACAGAAAACCATATTTAACAATTTGAGCCTATATAATCTATCCAATGCAATTTTCTGAATCAGCGCCCCAAATAACCCCAGAAACAGGCCTACAAACGAAGACGCCAAGGTGCCCCCGCTTCCAGGTGCCACATGGAATGGCTCTGCTCAGGGGGAGGGAGGAGGAGGAGAAACAGCAGTCAGGAGGCTTGTTGTTGCATCTTTTGTGGGTAGTCAGCCTCTCGCCTCCCAACATCCCTGTTGCCTTGGCACTATAAGAGGATTTCATGAGACCAGTCTCTCTCATTGCAGCAGTATAGTAGTAGTTAGACCGCAGACCATATTATAGTTATTGGGGACCGCTGGTGGTCCACGAACCTCAAGTTGGGAACCACTAATCTAGTCCAACCCCCTGACATGCAGAAAAAGCACTCCCCAAACTCCCAGAACAATTTTCAACTCCCCCCAATGGTAAAAAAAACTACTAAAGGCTGGCCCAAACCACAACTCCTTTGCTCCCCCAGTCACTTAAAATAGAGGGAAAAGTCCAACACTCATAGCATCGCTGAGATGGAAGGAACTGCAAGGGCCATCTAGTCCAATCCCCTGCTATAAAGAACTCGCCTGAGAGGTAACCATCCAATCACTGTTTAACGACATCTAATAACGGGGAGTCTCACTCTAGATTAAACCCCTGTGCCAGCAGGACTGAAGGCCGTCAGGTCGCAGGTTCGAATCCGGAGAGGGGCGGATGAGCTCCCTCTATCAGTTCCAGCTCCTCATGCAGGGACATGAGAGAAGCCTCCAACAAGGATGATAAAAACATCAAATCATCCGGGCGTCCCCTGGGCAACATCCTTGCAGACAACCAATTCTCTCATACCAGAAGCGACTTGCAGTTTCTCAAGTTGCTCCTGACACGATAAAAACAAAACAAAAAAAAACCTCTAGCACCTCCTGAGGCAATCTATTCCACTGCTGAACTCTTATAATAAATAAGCTATTTCCAATGTTTTAAGTGAAACATCCTTCCTTGTAATTGGAATTCTCATAAGAGGAGGAAACAAGCTTGCTCCATCTCCTACATGACATCCCTTCAAATATTTAGTGATGGCTATTAAATGACTAAGTTAAAGATATCCACCTCCCTACATTCTTCTTCAGTTGAAAGCAAAACCCAAAGTGGCCTCATTTCACTTTTGGTTTCATTGTGGCATCACACATCTGCAGATGCGAGAAAAAATGCTGTCCTCATCGCAACACAGCTGTCTACCCCACGCTTCAGAGATACTTGCTTTGGGGGAGGAAAATATCCTATGCTGCCCCCTTAGTTAAACCTGCTAGAACTATTTTCATCGCTACCTTCACTGACGTGAAATTTTGTTTTTGTTGTTTATTCATTCAGTCGCTTCCGACTCTTCGTGACCTCATGGACCAGTGCATGTCAGAGCTCCCTGTCTGCTGTGGCCATCCACAGCTCCTTCAAAGTCAAGTCAGTCACTTCAAGGATAACATCCATCCACCTTGCCCTTGGTCTGCCCCTCTTCCTTTTTCGATCCATTTTCCCCAGCATCATTGTCTTTTCCAAGCTTTCCTGTCTTTATGTACTTCATCTTTGCCTCTAATATCCTTCCCTCCTGTGAGCAGTTGGGCTTTATTACCTGAAGTATGGACTGGTTGATCTTCTCGCGATACAAGGCACTCTCAGACTTTTCCTCCAAAACCACAGGGGTGAGAAGGATGGGATATAAATATCTGAAATGAATAAAATAAATAATAAATATAAACTAAACCAGCCACTAGGTGACGTTCAGGAAACACTTACTGTTTCTTGAACCATTGATCTAAGGCAGTGTTTCTCAACCTGGAGGTCAGGACCCCCGAGGGGGTTGTGAGGGGTCTTCAAAGGGGTCACCAAAAAGCATCAGAAAGCACATATCTCTGATGGCCTTAGGATCCTCTTTGGCAGAGAAGGTTGAAGATCTCTCTGCCTGTCCTTCTTTGTTTTTGGAAACAGATGACAAATCTTCCCACCAAAAGCCCTCCTCCTGCTCTCTGAATGTAGATGAACTACAACTCCAAAACTCAAGATCAAGGCCTACCAAGCCCTTCCAGTATTTTCTGTTGATTTTTTTAAAATTTTTATTATTTGTCGTGTCAGGGCAACCAGTCAATTATATTACATTTCTAACAGATTAAAGCAAACAAACAGACAAAATACAAAATTTGTGAGTTTGGTAGTTGATTAAATGTCCTTTGACTAGTATCTGGCCACTTGGAGTGCTTCTGGTGTTGCTGCAAGAAGGTCCTCCATTGTGCATGTGGCAGGGCTCAGGTTGCATTGCAGCAGGTGGTCAGTGGTTTGCTCCTCTCCACACTCGCATGTCGAGGATTCCACTTTGTAGCCCCATTTCTGAAGGTTGGCTCTGCATCTTGTGGTGCCAGAGCGCAGTCTGTTCAGCGCCTTCCAAGTCGCCCAGTCCTCTGTGTGCCCAGGGGGGAGTCTCTCATTTGGTATCAGCCATTGGTTGAGGTTCTGGGTTTGAGCCTGCCACTTTTGGACTCTCGCTTTCTGTTGTTCATGTGGGAAGTTTGGCCCAATTCTGTCATTGGTGTGGCTCAGAATGCTCTTTGATAGTAGGTGAACTATACATCCCAGCAACTACAACTCCCAAATATCAATGTCTACTTTCCCTCATTTGAGCATATTGAGCATTCGTGCCAAGTTTGGTCCAGATCCATCATTGTTTGACTCCACAGTGCTCTCAGGATGTAGGTGAACTACAACTCCCAAACTCAAGGTCAATGCCCACCAAATCCTTGAGGTATTTTCTGTTGCTCACGGGAGTTCTATGTGCCAAGTTTAGTTCATTTCCATCTTTGGTGGACTTCAGAATGTTCTTTGATTGCAGGTGAACTATAAATCCCAGCAACTACAACTCTCAAATGACAAATACAATCACCCGCAATCCCACCAGTATTCAAATTTGGGCATAATGGATATTTGTGCCAAATTTGGTCTAGTGAATGAAACAAATCATTCTCCTTGCAGGGTCAGGGTTGACAGCAACTTCAGTGGGTGAGACGGATTGCCAAGATAGGGTTTAGGCCAGGCATGGGCAAACATGGGCCTTCCGGGTGTGTTGGACTTCAGCTCCCATAATTCCTAACAGCCTCCGGCCCCTTTCTTTTCCCCCTCAGCCACTTAAGGAAGGAGGCTGAGGTTGTTAGGAATTGTGGGAGTTGAAGTCCAAAACACTTGGAGGGCCTAATTTTGCCCATGCTTGTTCAACAGTGTAGAGGCTGCTACAAATTGTGGGAGCTGAAGCCCAAAACACCTGGAGGGCCAAAATGTGCCCATGCCTGGACTTGCCCATGCACACAATGGGTTAAGAGAGGTGCCTCTCCAAACTACAACTCCCAGGATCACACAGTATTGAGCCATGACAGTGACCAGAGATGCATTAATTCTGCAGTGTAGGTGCACCTTGAGGCAAAGCAGCAGGTGTCCTGGCAATGGCCTCTCAGGGATGCGAGATGATGAGGAGGAGGAGGAGGATGCCCCCCTCCCCAAATGAGTGCCTGCGAGTGCGCATGCGCAGGCCTTGTTTATGGGTTGTCATGCCGGCCACGCTGCCAGGATGTAGAAATCGGGAAAGCCGAGGGGGGTGGAGTTGGGGAAAGTTCAGGCATGTGACTCTTGACTAAGGCTGCTCTTGCTCGCGTTACATCACTCCCTGTCAGTCCCTCGCGTGAGCCTCCCCCCTACTTTCTCCTCCTCTCCTCCTCTCCCCTTCCCAAGGCCAGAAGTAAACACTGAGCAGGAGCCCGGGATCTCTTTCCCCTTCTCGCAGAACCCTCGCCGTCTACACCGAACGAGAGGAAGCGGGTTTGCCGCCTGTCGGAGCGACTCGCCCCTCCCCTTCCGGCTGCCCGCGGGTAATTACTTTCTGTACTCTGGTCGGAAACGAGCGCCTGCTATCTTCGAGATGGAAAGGCTTTGCTGCGTCTACACTGTACACTTAATGCAGTTTGACATCGCTTTGACTGCTATGGAATCTTGGGAATTTTGTTTTGCAAGGTGTTGAGCCTTCACTGCCAAAGAGTGCAGCTGGAGCCTCACTAAATCGCAGCTCCCAAGATTCCGAGGCAGTTAAAAGTGGGGCCAAACTGCGTTAATTCTGCAGTGTAGATAAGTTGTGGGTATGCTAAATCTAAAGGTTTCCTCCTGACATTAAGTCCAGTCCTGTCTGACTCTGGGGGTTGATGGTCATCTCCCTTTCTAAGCCAAAGAGCCGGCATTGTCCATAGACACCTCCAAGGTCATGTGGCTGGCATGACTGCATGGAGTGCCATTACCTTCCCGCCAAAGTGGTACCTATTGATCTCCTCACATTTGCATGTTTTCAAACTGTTAGGTTGGCAGAAGCTGGGGCTGGCAGCGGGAGGTCATGCCACTCCCCGGATTCGAACCTGCAACCTTTCAGTTAGCAAGTTCAGCAGCTCAGCGGTTTAACCCGCTGCATCATCGGGAGCTCCTACTTCAAGGTAAACCCCACCTGTTGACACCGAGGGTGATGGACATGTGTGAATGTGGAAGTGCGGAGGAGTTAATTCATGGCCCTGGATGGGTGCATCTTCTATATATTGAAGATGAATGGAGTCTGACACCACTTGAACTGCCAAGTCTTAAGACTAGGGAATTGTGGTTTGGTGAGACACCAGCACTCTTTGGTAGGCAGGTTTAAAGGCCTTTCAAAACTACAACTCCCAGGATTGCGTAGTACTGAGCCATGACAACCAAAGGGGTGTCAACCTGCATTAATACTACAGTGTAAATCAGGCATGGGCAAACTTCGGCCTGCCAAGTGTTTTGGACTTCAACTCCCAGAAATCCCAGACTGCTCCCTGGTTGTTAGAATTGTGGGAGTTGTAGTCCAAAACATCTTTGTCCGTGCCTGGTGTAAATGCACTCCATGCTGATGGTGTTCTTTATACAAAATGGAAAAATAATGGTTGTATATATATATGGAGTTAAAATGGCTGGAAGAAACATTAACAACCTTAGATATGCAGATGATACCACTTTGATGGCTGAAAGTGAAGAGGAGCTGAGGAGCCTTCTAATCAAGGTGAAAGAAGAAAGTGCAAAAGCTGGGTTGCAGTTAAACATCCAGAAAACCAAGATTATGGCAACCAGAGTGATTGGCAAATAGAGGCAAAAAATGTGGCGGCAGTGACAGACTTTGCATTTCTAGGCACGAAGATTAGTGCAGACGCAGACTGCATCCAGGAAATCAGAAGACGCTTACTTCTTGGGAGGAGAGCAATGGCCAATCTCGATAAAATAGTGAAGAGTAGAGATATCACACTAACGAAGGTCCACATAGTTAAAGCAGTGGCATTCCCCATAGCAACCTATGGATGTGGGAGCTGGACCATAAGGAAGGCTGAGTGAAAGAAGATAGGCGCTTTTGAACTGTGGTGCTGGAGGAAAATTCTGGAGTGCCTTGGACTCTCAGATCAAACCAGTCCATACTCTAGGATACGATACTGACTGACTGCTCACTGGAGCTGTAGTTTGGTGAAGCACCAGGACTATTTGGCAGGAAATGCTAAAGATAATGGAAAAATATGACTCCCATGATCCATAGCATTGAGCCAAGGCAATTAAAGTGGTGTCAAGCTGTATTGATTCAACAGTGTAAGGTGCACCCCAAGACACCAGTATCAGAGCTCTGAACTGCAAATCGTGATTAGCACTATAATTACATCATACCTTGTATGCACAGGCAAAAGCACATACAAGCCTTCCCAGGCCACTGTTCCCAGTTACACTGGACTCCAGTTTGCAGACTCCCCCACCTACTTGGAGGAATTCTGGGTATGGCAGTCCACCATATCTGGAGGTCCAAGGGAGGGACAAAGCTGTCCTCTCCCATCCCTTTTCACTTTTTAAAAGTCACTGGGATTACATTTATATAAATAAAAATGTAATGTTGGTTTGTGGGATTAACATAACTCAAAAACCACTGGAAGAATTGACAACAAAGTTGGACACAATACACCAGGGGTCCTCAAACTAAGGCCGAATGCGGCCCTCCAAGGTCATTTACCCGGCCTTCGCTTAGGGTCAACCTAAGTCTGTAATGAATTGAAAGCACACAACAACAACAACAATCCTATCTCATCAGCCAAAAGCAGGCCCACACTTCCCATTGAAATACTAATAAATTTATATTTTAAAAATTGTTCTTCATTTTAATTATTGTAGTGTTTTTAAGTGTTTTTGCACTACAAATAAGATATGTGCAGTGTGCATAGGAATTCGTTCATTTTTTTTTCAAATTATAATCCGGCCCTCCAACACTTTGAGGGACTGTGACCTGGCCCTCTGTTTAAAAAATTTGAGGACCCCTGCAATACACTTTCAGGCCAACAAGTGACCATCACTCATAAAAATACTGAAAAACACAGCGGAAGGGACTTCAAAAGCCAAAAAAGCAAAAAGACGCTACAGCGCATGCACAAAAACAACTCCCCCTGGCAAACAAAACACACAATAGCACACCCACATTCCTAGACCACCCCCTTTAGGAGAAGAGGATGATCCAAATACACTGCTTCCAAAATGCAAGCTTTCTTCTCCTTGGATTTCTTTTAGAATACCCCAATCCCTGCATATTTCCAATTTTCTATTCCTGGACTGCAACTCCCAGAAATCCTCCAAATAGGTAGATTAGATAGAGATAGATTGGTAGGTAGACAGATCAATCAGGAGGACTGTAAGGAGTTGCAGTCCAAGAATAGTTAGAAAAGGAAGAAAGGGGAGAGAGGAAGGGAAAGAAAAGTGGGGGGGGGGGGAGAGAAAGAAAGAAGGAGAGAAAGAAGGTCAGCCACAGCAACGCATGGCGGGTACAGCTATTCACTTATAAAACAGTGAAAAACACAGCAGAAGAGATTTTAAAAGCCAAAATATAAAAATTACATTAAAACGCATGCGCAAAACCACATATATACACATAAACGCAAATATATATACACATATATACAGACACAAAACACATATACAGACACAAAACACATATACACAGACTGGGCCACAGCAACGTGTGGCAGGGGACAGCTAGTCAAGAAATAATCTTGCTGCTAGAATGTATGCTTTTAATTTTGACAATAATATTTGTTTATCTTAAGAAGTGAACAATATAGTTTGAGAGAGAGAGACACAGGAATATATATGTATGAATAACTGACTTCTTTTTACAGCATCCATACTCACTTAGGTTTCTTAAGACTGTGGGCTCTTATTTGGAAACAACAAAGAAGTTGGTGGTTGTCTCTATAGCTCTTCTCATCCATTCCTATGTGGTAATGCCCAAGGCAAGACAGTGCAGCAGGCAAAACAGCAATAATAGCCAGTGATTACAACATGAAGGATAGGTCTAAATAATCTGCTTGACCCAACAAAGACTGGAAATGGCATGAGTTGACTTCCAGTACACACCTCCTAAGTTCTTCCGTGACTTTTTAAAGGATGAAGATTATTTAAGGGTTATCTCTCTAGTTTACAGGTCACTAGTTTTTCTCTCTTAAGGTTTTCTGTCTGTGTACTGCTGGGTGGGTGTGATAAATACATGATTCCTTCTGGGTTGCCTGGCTGAGATTGGACTAGGGGGCACTGTTTTACAGTAGCTATGGTCCTTCCTGGAAAGACCCATAAGGTGGTACTAGGGGATGCCTGCTTGACCCCATGGCCATTGACCTGTGGGGTCCTACAGGGCTCTGTACTTTCCCCTATGTTGTTTAACATCTACATGAAACTGCTTGGAGAGATCATCCGGAGTTTTGGAGTTCATATAATCCAGACAGGGGTGGCTCAACCCATTACGCAAAGTAAGCATTCGAAGTATAGTTGATTTTGCCCAGGGGCCCTCTAGAGGCGCTCTTGGGGGAAAATAGACCTTGACATATGCGAGTTGTAGTTACTGGGATGTATAGTTCACCTACAATCAAAGAGCATTCTGAACTCCACCAATGATGGAATTGAACCAAATATGGCACACAGAACTCCCACGACAAACAGAAAATATATATCAGTGATTGGTTGGGGGGGGGGGGGTCGCCAAAATACTGTTTGCTTACCATTGAAAATTACCTAGGGCCACCTCTGAATCCAGATTACCAGATTAGATTATATGAGTTTACACTGCCATATAATCCAGTTCAAAGGGGATAATCTGGATTTTATATGGCAGTGTAGAAGGGGCCTCAATGTCAGGCAGCAGCATGGCAAACTTTTGGATTGTCTACATGGATGAAAAAAGCTTGTACTCACCTAATATTTGGTGATGGCATTAACTCATTCTAAGAACCTCATACCTGGTGATAGCATAACACCCAGGGCCCTTCCAGACAGGTCCTTTATCCCAGGATCTGATCCCAGGTTTTCTGCTTTAGACTGGATTATATGCGTCTGCACTGCCAGATAATCTGGGATAAACGGAAAACTTGGGGTCGGATCCTGGGATAAAGGGCTTGTCTGGAAGGGCCCTCATTCAGTTCTTTTTCATGTCTTGGACTTAAATATGAGTGAAGAGGATCAGCCTTTTACTTTGAACCTTTTCAGAAAAACCTGGGTTATTTTTTGTGTGCCTGAGGTCCAAATTGACTTCAGTATTGAGCTGCGGGCTGAGGTTTTGGGTGGGCTGCACAGGTAGATGGGAAATACCATGATCGGTCCTGCTATGAAATGCTACTAATTTCTGTTTTGCTGGCCAGGTGACTGAAAATAATGCAAAGCATAGCACATGTGATCATTTTTAATAGGGATGTGTGCAATGTTAGCGAAGCTACTACAGACAGGAAAATGTGAAGCGTATTTTTTCTTGTGTAGACATCTTTGCCTCAACTGGTTTGTCCTCTTCCTCTGGCTCTGA